CTTTGTGTAAAGAAGTCATCTCATGGATCCTTTCCTTTCAAGTTCCTTTTTTCGAAATTGGCAAATGTCCTTCAGACAAGACGAGCACAGAGAAATGTGCTCGCAGTAATTGGCCCTTTTTTAAGTGCAAGTGTAGTTAAAGGATAACTTCGATTCATAACACCTTGGATCTTTTATTGTTGCATTGGCTATCCTTCTCTTTGGTAATAATTATACTGCACTCACCCATTTAAGTGTTCTAATTGATCGATGACTTTGGTGACGTAGCTTAAAAAAACAAGAAGAGGCAAGGGAACAAAAAGAAAAACGTTTTTGGAATAGAGGTTCTTGGCAACTTGTCATAGTCTGTTCTCTTGTTCCTAATCTCCACAGCAACATTTCCTAAACCATGGCTTTTTTCTCCGCAATCACCCATCTGTTCCCAGAGGTCTCAGACTTTCTCTAGAACACTGCCCCATGCAATCTGCTTACACACCTTTCTCATCAGCCTCAATCCATATATTGGACAATTTCCTTTGTTCAATCGCAAGTTTGGCCTCCTAGTTGCCAAGCATGTTACCTTGTTTGATCTTGTGGTAGTTTTTTATGTCATTCTGAATCTGCTTGCCTGCCTCATTTGATCTTAGCATCTTGATTTTTCAATTATTTTTTGACTACAGAACATGTTAATGTTTCCAGATCTGACACTTCTATATTTACGGTTTTGATGAATAAAAATCAATTTGGTTGAGGTCATGCATGTCAAACTCCAGATTTATTTTGTATGCACTCAAACCACACTACAGTGGGGAGTCAAGGAAACTAACTGAAGAAACATAATAGAGGAATTTGATTTGGTGCACCTTGGTGTCCACCAAAGATCTCTGAGTAAAAACACAAGTGTATTGACATGAGAGTCACAAATAAAAGATAGATCTAAGTGCATACCCAAATTTAAAGATGTATATTAACGAAAGGCAAAAAGACAAACACTTTCTCTTTCAGTTCAAACAAAACAAGAGAACAAAGAGCCATGATGAAACTTCACAACAGGAACATGTGGAGAGTTTGACAATGAACTGAAGGGAAAATGCACAGAGACTAAATACAGGGGGCAATCAAACAGTGAGACTAACGAGACACAGGTGAGGACAATGAGAGCAATCAAAAAGGGAGGGAAACACACAAAGGAGAGAAAGTAACACTAGACCAGAAACACTGGGGGCAAAAACTAAAATTGGAAACACTACAGCCTAAACTCCGGAACATGAACAGGAGAATACACACAGGGAATAGAGAAGCACAAGGATAGAACATGGCAAAATAAAACAGGAAATGACAACAAAACAAGGATTAAGCAAATTAAATAAGAGTTAATCATGACTATAACCAGCTCAGCATTGGGCTTAGAGCCTACATTTTGGAGAAGCTTTCACCAAAGTCCAAGCATGTCCAGTATTTACTCTAGTCTGGCTTCTTGCTCAGTCACTCATTTTGTCTTCTCAGCTTCTCAGCACAGTCCTTTTCTACGTATTAGCATGTATCAAATAACTGAACCAAAACTGGCTAGCTTCTTATTTCTTTTTTTGCCCAAGGCTGGTGTGTAAACTAGTGCTGTAAAGTCAGAATGCCAAAGTTAAAGTGCTGAAAGCAGACGATCAGGGTGCTCTGTGGAAATTTATTGTACTATAAGATAAACTTTGAAACAACATTTTTTAGGGGGAAAAGTTACATTTGGTTGCTTTAAGGAAATATATCACCTTGATGTTCATTGCACAAGAATTTTAAGATCACATATATTCACAACGTGTATGTTTTTTTTTCAGTGGCAAACACTGAATGGAGGACAAAGCAGAGGGAATATTTGTACAGCATCTCAGTTAACATGGATTCATTATAATTGCCTTACATTTTCAGCTAGTGCTTCAGAGATGGAGATTAAAGATACAAATACTGGATTTGGCAGCATGATTTCACACAGATTGAAAAAACAATAATACGTTGATGTTATAACATTCTTCATTTGTTTCAGGTTCCCTAGAACAGAGGTTCCCTAACTTTTCAGCCCGCGACCCCCATTGTCCTTAGAGGTGGTATGAACATTTAACATTGTAAAAAGCCACATACACTATTAGACATGTTCAAAAACTGACATTAAAATGACATACAACAGCCCAAACACTGCAAGATATTTTTTTGTATTCATTGTTAGAAACGCTAGAAGCCAGAAAACAACTTTTTTGTATATATATTTTCACAAAAATGTGGTTCAATAATGCTATTTTAACCTGCTATTTTCCAGTTTTATATGTTTTTGGGAGGAAACGCTTGACACTCCTCTCAGTGTCTCACGACCTCCCAGGGGGTCCTGACCCGTACTTTGGGAACCACTGCCCTAGAACACTTGAAACCAGTTTGACTACATACATTTTTAAGAACTTCACCAATAAAGAAAACAGCATCATTCGACCCATGCATAATTATTGATGAGCCTGTAGCAATGAGTTCTGTTACAGACGGCCTCAATCTAATCCACTTCAACTGAAGAAAGAGATCTATAGCTTTAAGATATGTTTTGGCTCTTAATTATACTCACTTACAAACACTTGAACATTACTTCTTTGAAACTGCTGCATAATGTAACGGCAATTTCATCAACAGGCAATGTTTCATGCGTTATACTGCTTTCACACTTTTATTGTACAAAAGTTATTTAAAACTTGAGCTGAGCTGTATGTGTGAATGCAAACAAACAAAGTTTCACTTGCACTTCATCCAGAGTTTCTCTTGCCAGCCCCCTGGTAGATTTTCTGTGTGAAGTCCGAGTGAAAGGATGCGGGAACTCAGCAGCATATACTCAGGAGAATTTATGGTGGGTGAGTGGCAGGGGGTGAAGATGTTTTGATTGGTGCACAACCATAGACTGTATGCAAGCGACCAGTGCAGACCACACATGGCATTGATATATTCTCATTATAGCATCGTATAGTTAACTGTATTGCTTCAGCCGCAACTATTGCGTCATTATTTACCCCCTCTCCCTTCAGTCAGGGATAGTCTCCCACTGTGAGGTGCATGTTTGATCAACCACAACAGGAGGATTTCAGGTGCAGTCCGCCTGAAATTCTCAAGACTTTTTCAGGAGTGCTTATGTTAAAAATGATACCCCTTTCTCACCTTTTCAAACAGTCCCCTGTAGTCTAAATGAAACATCTGTGCTGTGTTTTGGTCAAAATATAACATGAATCAAGCACCAGAGGAGATTTGTGACCCTGTATAAACCAGCTCTCTCAGAACACTCCGTTTTTGTGTGTGTGTCTCTTTAAATGAAATGACCCCCTCTGAGTTTTCCCTGTGGACATCACTCCTCTGTGGCAAGAATAAAAATTGGCAGAATTATGCAAAAGTTTTGCTCTAGGCTGGGGGTGGAGTCCATGGGTGGAGATACCAGGAGAGAGGAGGGTATTTTCTTTTTAACAGAATCCCACTGTGACATCACAAGGAGAGCACATTTTAAACAGAGCATTTGTCTCTGTATTGTAAGACTTATGCAGATCACAAACAAAGGACTGGATGGATTTGTTTCACATTTTGTGGGTCGGTAGACACTCAGGTTACCCAAATATATGTTCAACAATATTGTAGAAGTGGATTTCATAACATGTCCCCTTTAAATTGTCTTTACATGTCAGGGAAACCAGTCTTTCCAGTCATTTGTGAGGAGGGGCTACCAAAATATTGGGTCCTTAAAGAGAAGCCTAGTGTAGCTTTCTTGCAACATTTAACATGATATGCATTTTGGAATCCAAAGTCACAATAGCACCCTTGATATTCTGAGATTTTGCTAATCATTTTTGTAAATGATTGACATTGTAACTATCCACAAACATGAGTTTATGAGTAATCAGGGAAAGAGCTATGAAATAGCTGAATATTTATTTCAGTATACAAGACTAAAGGAGAAAAATACACATAAAATAGGACCTGACAGAGTTAACTTTTGTTTTAAGAATCCTTGAGAAGAGCCAGAGGCCCTGGGGGATCGGTCTCTGTGGGGTGGTGTTGGTAGGTGTCATGCAGGATCTGTGAAAACAATGTTTATTGAGGTCATGCAGGACCCATCGGTGTGAATCATTCGCCTGCTTGCACGGCCTTCTTTTGGTGTCCTGTGATACTGTGTTTTTTTTTTTGCCAAGTTTACCGGTTCTCTAGTGAGGATCAAAAAAATTCTTCGACATCAGTTCTCTTTGGCAGATTTCAAATTATTTTCATCAGCATCCTTTATCACAGCACACAGGATAAACCTGTGTATCTTCCACTGAGGGATGTATTTCAGCAGCTTCTCTCATCTCCTGCCTGACCAGGACAGCAGCTGACATGACGACACCAAGATTACTGTCTGTGCAACACAGAGAATCAGGTGGGAGAGGATGAAAGGATGAGCTGCTCTGGGAGTTTAACAGCATGTGTGTAATAACGTGGACACATCCCCTAAGTACAGCGCCACAAAAACAAACACTTTTTTTTTCCCCCGATCTTAAAATAAATAAATTATTGTTTGTATAATTTATCTAAGGAAACTAACCGAATATTTAGTGTTTTTTTTAAATAACTTAATCATACACAAGACAAAGACATACCGTTCTGTTGGTCAAAAGTTAAATTTAAAGAGCTATGTAATAAAACCAAGGTAGCTTCATGTGTCAAGGACGGCAATGTGGAAGTGCAAAAATGTTTAGTTCCTCGAGTGTCCACTTGAGTCTGGATGCAGAATCCTAGGAAGTCACCGAAACTCTGGGTTGTTTAATCGAGTTGATAACCAGTTTCATGAGACCCCTCTCTCCAAATTTCTTCATACTCCATTCTGCCACTATGTCACATTTTGCTGCCTCTCTAGTCAATGATTATGTTTCCACAGGGAGTGTCGCTACGCTACATTCAGGAAAGACAGAAAGTAAGACAAGGAAAAACACAGAGCTTACGGCCAATTTCAAAATGAAACATAATATACGGACCCACAATTGAATTTTTCATCACTTTATATCAACTTTAGGACAAGACAGGCAACAAACAAAAAACAAATCAACCACGGAAAGAGAAAGTAACATGTTGTAGGCACTCTTTTCTCTTGATTCCAACATGATCGTGTAGTTCTCCAGTGATGTGAGTACAGCTGCTCATGTTCCAGAGACAGAGCCAGTGAGGCAAAGCGTGACTCTGACAGGCCGCTCGTGCACGGAGAAGGTGGAAAATCAGGTGTTAGCATGTTCACATCTGTTAGGGTTAGTGACAGAGCTGCAGCTTGTCAAACAGGCAAGGCAGCCAACTGATCGAGACCCAACTGATGGCACTCATTCCCGTTGCGCTGCTTAGCGTCGCACGCATTATTCCTGTGAAAACAGATGTTTGTCAAATGATCAGCCCTGGAGTGAAAAGGTGAGAGGAAGAAAGAAAGAAAGCAAGCAAGAAGGGAGTAAGTGGAGCAGATAATTATGATCAAATATAATAGTACGTGACTGAATGGGGTACATAGCCTACCTACCAAGTGTCTACCGTTTAATCAGTTGACTCTACCATCATTGCCTAGTTTACAGCCCATAATCTGTAACTCTGCACCACCTCAGGAATAACTGATGCAGTAACCTTTACAGCTCTTTATTATGTGAACAAACTGACAACAGACTGGGCGTAGGACCAGGCAGAGCTGTTTCTGTCACGGTTGTGGAAAAACAAGGGAGGTGGACCAAAGTGCAGAAAACCAAAAGGATTTAATTTAACAAAAAGGCAGAAGGCAAAAAAAAAAAAAAAACTTCCTTTGAACCAAAAACTAGAAGTCAATACTCTATAGCAGAAGCTATCCAACATAGACTCACATACGACAATGAACTGACACAGAGGGAAGAAACACAGACTAAATAGACATGGGGTAATCAGACACAGGTGAGGACAATCAGGGCAATCACACTAGAGGGAAACACACAGAGGCAGGAATAAAATACAAGAAACACTGGAGACTAGAACTACAACATAAATCAAGAAACACGAAGATACACAGAGAACTCAAGAATGTAACATAACCACTAGAACAAAGAAACACAAGGATAAGAAACTACAAAATAAAACAGGAAACACTGAAGATAAACCTAGGAACCTATCAACACAAGGAAACATTAACACACAAGGGAAACAAGCAACACTAGGAAAAAACGCGAAACTCACAAAATACAAAACCAAATCATGACAGTTTCAATGAAACAATACAACATGGGCGCTTGAACTTACGTTTCACCATCATGTTGTTCAGTTCTAAAGTAAGTTCTGTACTCTGCCACATCGCTAGTTGCATTTGTTAGCTACTCATGTACACTGGCACAACACTTAGCTTCCGCTTCCCTACCTGTGCGTACTACACCATCATGATTAAAGCGAGATCATCATATTACAAAGCTTAGGGCCCTCTAAACTTCTATAAAACATCAGGACTGACATGACATTTTTAGCCTGACAACACTTAAACTTGACAGATTTGGAGCCCGGATGTGTTGGATACGTTGGGATATATCAACATATTTGATGTATTGCATATGACATGGCCCCATTCCTATTTGGATATAAATGTGTTTTATAATCAAATCAGAGAAACACTTACAGGTTTAGTTAGATATAAAGTTTGGGACATCTGTTCTCAGATCTGACTGGCAGGTTCAAAGCGTCTTTGGTGTTTGAACTTATTCATGTGAAATCTGAAATCCCCCTTGTTGTCCGAACAGACTGCAGTCTTATCTCCCTGCTGGTTTCAGCCGTGACATTGACCTGATTTACAAGTTTTACACCCCGCACTGCAAGTTGTAGCCCCTCTTTTGGAAATCCCCTACAAACTGTCTAGCTCCATTTAACTTGTGATAAAATATCAAACACGGTGGATATTAGATCTCTGTCTGAGTTATGGATGGCTTGAAAATCGAGAGATCTGGCCGAGCCATGGTGCATTAAAATCTCACTGTATCAAACGATGAAAAAAGTTGGAGGGAAATAAACCAGACTGGCTGACCTGATTTTTGGAGCAACAAATAACAAAAGGGGATACTTCCACGCTCTACTTGCTGAATCCTTCATGGTGACAGGTGGATCTGGTGAGAGTGTGTGAGTGTGATTTATTGGCTATCATGCCGGGCCATCTCTAATGGTGGACACTGCTGCCTGCAGGATGCACAGTGATTACTGTCCTCTAATTCTTTATGGCGAGCTGGGTAGAAAAATGACAGGGAGCACTGTGTGGAATGGATAATCAATACTGTATTTATGCCCAGCGAGGAGACAGCATTGCTCACTTGCCAGCACAACAGGGGTTTTTCATCGATACATCCCCCTTGGATTTCAGAGTGAGGATAATGAACCTTTCTTTATTTAGAGCAAACCAAAACAGAGCAGTCGATGGATACGGTGGAAAAACTTGGTGTCTTGAAAAGTGCTTTTAAATAATTATCGCCTTTCAAACATTCTGCTGAGTGCCACTCCCCCTGCATCAAAAAGGGACCTCTTGATCAAAACAAACCTTGTTGATCGACCCTCTGTCTGTGCAGGTCCTCGTTCACTTTGTACATTATGTGATTATGTTCCTTTTTTTTTTTTACATTTGGCCTTTTCATCTTTCCAAAAGGATGTTTTGTTTTGGTTTAGTTCATGAATTGGAAATGTGTATTGCGCTCAAACAGTTAACTTGAAAATAAAAAAGGTACATGTCTGTGTTGTTGGGTTAATTGGAGCAGCTTCTGCTGTGCAGACTTTGTCTTTCTCTGTCTTTGGATGTTTTTTTCTGTCCAGCACTTCCCCTTTTCGGATATGGGTGCTGTTTTATATTTTAACATCAAACCCAACCAAGAGACAGAATAGAGACTACTGGTCCCTAGACTATACTTGCATGGTGAGCGAATAGTTGATGGTTTGAGGAATCAGGAAAGTTCACTCAAAAGGCATGTTGAAGGAGTAGTGGTTCAGTAGTGATTGCAAAATGTGCAACTCTTCTGTGACTAATGGTAATTTCCTTATTACCCTCGCTCCCTCAAGTCATTTTGCTTAAGTTTAATGAAAAATCCAGACCTAATTTGGATGAACATGTACTACTTAATAAGAGTAGTACATGTGGATGTTGATTTCACAGGGTGTTTATCATTGGCCAGGCCTGACAACTGGAAAAATAAAACTGAGCAAATTAAGAGTTTTTCCTGTTTTTCCATGCAACACTACACCAATGAGACAGTTAAACACCACATATATTTAAAACTAAGGGTTGTCATTTCTGGTATTAAAATCTTACATAAATCTGTTGAAAAAGAGTATAGTGAGTTCTTAGTGTATTAAAGTCGAATTTAAAATTGTCGAAGGGTGTGACCAAGAGACCAGATCTGCGTTATGTCACTTTAATCGTTCCTTAACCTTAGCCTTACTGTAGCTGCTGGGACCTGACTTACAAGGGGTGGCATGAAGTTTGTGAGCATGCACACACACAAACACATCAACACACCAATGTATAGCATTTGAACCCTTTCAATCTCCACGTATCATATCTACTTTTACAACTTACATTAAAGTTTCTTAAATATGTTGTCTTCCAGTGTACATGTTTTCACTTTTAAAGGTTACACAGCAGAGTTACAACATAAACATCTCTTTAGCTGAATTCTTAAACAGCTCATAAAGAAGATTAATCTAAAAAGTCAGAATTTAAAGAACTAACAAAAGCAAATAGCCAATCATAGTTTAGGATGTTGGGGTGGCTCCGGGGTCGGCCAATCAGATTTCCCAGATCCACCCCTGTGGCTATATGGCAATATTTCTTTCTGCTTTTTTAAACTGTGCTTACCAACAGCTACAGTCTACAATGAATTCTGATCAGGGAAAAACATTTTAAGTATAAATTTACAGTTAGACTGATTTTCTGAGACATAATTCTTTGAAGGTTAAACTAAAAGGAAATGCTTGTTAAATGTTGGTTCAATAGTCAGGAAAACAAGTGTGCACAAGACTCCAGTATTAGAGCAGATGATCACACGCAAGGCAGTGTGCGTGTGTGTGTGTGTGTGTGTGTGTGTGTGTGTGTGTGTGTGTGTGTGTGTGTGTGTGTGAGAAAGAAGGGTTTTTCTAAATGACACTCCGGTTTTTAAATCCTTTCATTCATTTTTTAAAATAAGCTTTTCCAATCTCTAATAGGACTATTTTATTTAAAAACAAATCCATTTGGAGCTTCTATGACAGGGACAGCTTTAAGTTGTCAAGTTGTCTTTCTGTTCAATTATTTATGGTAAAAGCAAAACGCCAGGGGGGATTATCATTAAACTTGGCATTAATGTCCTTTTTGGACCGAAGGAGGCACCCATGAGATTTAGGTTACCAAAGGTCAATGTTACTGATATCTCTTGAATGAATGTTTCTAACATTAACCCAAGAATTCATGCAGTAATGATGACACACTTTCTAAAAAATGTGAATCATAATCACATTATAGGTAATTGCATTAATATCCAAAAAGAAAAGTCCAAGATCAGCTGTAAAGCAACACCATAATAACTGGGTTAACGTTATTGTCCATTTTATTGTACCTGTGCCGTGAGAACAATATCTCAGCAATGACTGGAGGGAATTTTTATGAATGATATCACAACTTTAGCCACTATTGGTTAGAAGACAATCTCCTCTCACCTGTCTGTTCAGTCTGAAGCCATGCATGAGAAAGGTCGACTGACATCACATGCTCAGCAGAGAAACACAGATAGAGAAAGAGTCTTGTAACTCATCCTTTCTGTGAATCAATATAAACCGTACACATGTAAACATGAAGAATCAAATGGGAGTAAATCACCTCTGACATCTTAAGGCTTGGGCAGTTTGTTTTTTTCCGAGACAGAAAGCTGTCACAATATAACAATAAAAAGTTTGACATCATCACTCATCATTGTTTTTGTTTTTTTGTCATATTGCTTTATCTATATTATTTGTCATTGCTGACATTTCCACACTGGCAGTGTCAATCCTTGACTTGGGGGGGTCCTCGGGCAAAAAATGCTCATCCTGGCTCTGAGCTCTTTCCTGAGTTTATCCATCTCCTGATCCTGCAATCTGCTTCATCTATGTGGAGAGAAAAGTGAGCGGAAAAACTGCTGTAAATATGTCGACTGTTTTCACACAGACAAAAAAAAACAAGCGCTGAGGTTAAAATGTTTTTTTACACATAAAGTAAATAGTAAATGGACTTGAGCTTGTAGAGCGCTTTTCTAGTCTTCTGATTACTCAAAGTGGTTTTACACCACAGGTCACACCTACACATTCACACACTGATGGCAGAGGCTGCTGCAGTATGTAAAGTCACCATCAGAAGTAACTAACCCATTCATACACCGCCGCCGAAGCAGCGGGAGCAACTTTGGGTTAAGTGTCTTGCCCAAGGACGCATGTGGCTCGAATCCCCGACCTTCTACCAACTGAGCCACAGCCGCCCCCAATATTAGCGCTACCAATACGGTAAAATACAAAAGTATGTCTTTGTTTTCAAGACATTTGTGCCTTTAACAGGTCGGTCCAGTTGATGATGTTTGTCTGTTATTAAGCCTGAAAGCAAGAGCTGCTTCCACCTGATCCATACCTCTCCAATAGATTACTCTTCTTTGAATTTTTTAAGAAAACCTGTGAGTGCTTTTTTTTTTTGGATGTTTAAAGTGGTTCATCAGGGGGTCCTATTCAGGGAAAAAAAACATTTTTGGCCACCAAACATACTTCTGCTTTGGGACTGGCGTTAGGTCAACATGACTGAATCATGTGGAGTAAAATGAAGGATTGTATGTGTTGACTCTTCACTTGATTAAATCCCTGACCTGCCAGCTAATTAGTAAACACTGATGAATGAGAGAAACTTTGTGCCAGCTTGCAGGTTCATCTGAAATGAGCTGAGGATGCAGATCTGCTCGTTGTGCAGAGAAACCACCATTGGGTTTGAACTCGGACAGCGTGTGTAAAGCTTGTGACCTCCCTGGTAAACACACCGGACTAATTAGATGTTGAAGTGAGTCAATGTTTGCTGAAGTTAGCTCTCAGTGGGTACATGAGGGTCAGAGTGTGAGAAGAGAAACCAGCTAAGCTGCCGGGGTGAAGTACATCTGAAACACAGGCTGGACTCAGAGCAGATACAAATATCTCCTGACTCTTCAGTCATAAAAGCAGTGGAAAAAAAAACACTTCAACCACCAAAAACATTAATAATAACTTCACTCTTATATTCACCCATTTGACGGATATAAAAATAATGAAGGGAGATGAGGAGGAAAACAATACCTTATAAATAATTCTAGGGAAAACTACTGTAAGTATTTCACTTAGCTAAGGTGTTTTAGAGCCTCGAAAATAAATCAAATGACTCGTTCACACAGGCACAATCCAGAGAAAGTGGAGAACACAAATCACTAACAGCTAATGTGTTAAGCCCTGACTCAAACCCGGGTTACATGAATAATGGTTAAATTAAAGTAATATTACTTTTGTAGTATATTTACTTTTCACAAATCATTTTTGGTGGAATGGTTTTTCTTGTTCACTGGAAAGTTTGACAACTTTTATTTTAATGTGGCGGTTATTCTAACTGAACATTGATGGGGTCATCCCTATGTTCCCTCATTTTTTTATTAAATTCCTCCCCCCCCATTAAAATTAGGCCTATGTTCCAGGGGTCGGCAACATGCGGCTCTTTTGCCCCTCGCAGGTGGCGTCCTGTGGCTTTGCCAAAAAAAGAAAATCTTTATTTTTTTTCTATGATTATTGTTGTTTCAAAGTGCAGACAGACAGGCAGCGTGTGATGGTAGAAATTTCCACTGGCGAGTTGTCGCATGTCATGTGGTAAAATATAGAAATGAATACTCATTTAGATCTATTAGCGATGTGAATGGGCTTAGACAGGCTACATAAACTTGATTTAAAGGTTCAAATATATTTTTCTTTTTCTTTTTTCTTTTTTTTGGGGAGCTTCTGGCAACAATGGCTCTTTTGAAAGAAAAGGTTGCAAAGCCCTGCCTTAGGCCTACATTGGGCTGGCCCTTCTTCAGTATAATGCACATAACATGTTGTTGCAGACTGACCCCCCCTCCCACAGTTTGACGCAAAATCACTCAAATGATTTGCTCAAGTGGAACAATTTCAGCTCGACTGAACAAGCAGGTGGCGCCAATGAGGAAAATCAAAGTATGTGAATCAGGCTCCATGTGAAAGTGAAACAATAAAACAACCAACTTTATTACAAGAACCAGTAACAGGCTGAAGGTGCTACACTCTTTAAAGCAGCTACTGTCTTTATTTTATTTATCATGAAAAGAGAATCATCACCTGAACCTACAGCTCACTGCAGCTTGACAGAGCTTTTCACAGAGTTCCCGCTCATACTTAAGCTATCAGGCCCACATATGTTTGTCTTTTCCACTTCCATCTCTGCTGCAGCAGGCTGAGTGTGACAGGTGATGGATAGGTGGAACAACATTTCAGGGAATACCATATGTCTTTAGGTCAATGGAGCATCTCCTTTAAAAGATACTGAAGCGTTTATCATTTATCCTTTAACATTTAAATATGTCAAAGCAAATGGGGAACATACAAATGTAAATAATGGAACAAGCTGCAGTTTGAGCTGAACGTTGTAACAGAAAAGTTTTCTTTATAAGTCTGACCATAAATGCTGTCTTTGACTGACTCCATGTTCATACAAGCTGACACTCTGAAGTCTGTGTGCAAACATGAGTTCTCTCTGGAAATATGTTTGCAACCTCTTCACTCAGAGAACCAAGGTTACAATGTAACCAAGCGTTCCATCTCTACGTTATTGATTGGTGAATTAATCTAAGAATGAAACATGCTGCAGTAAATCTGTTTTCTTTTGTGCAAAGTCTCACGCATGTATATAATCCCAGATATTCCCTTGTCAGAGACACCATTAATTCCCATACAGACGCTGTACAGTTTTTTGTGGTTGTGACTCATATCACAGATTTATATCTGACACAAAAGCAACATGACATTTACTGCCGATTGTAAACAGAATCACAACTAGACATCAACAAAATGGTGCTTTTTCTTCTCTCTCTCTCTCTCTCTCTCTCTCTCGGTTGGTACATCTAGAATCACTCACAAATGCAGTAAACAAATGTGTTTCACTTATTCTCCTTTTGTGTGGCTCAGTGGGGCTGAAGGTTGAAAACAAACAGGCTGACAACACTACCTGGGGAATTTCACCTCTGGAAATACCAGGAAATGGAATATCTGAAAACGAGGCTCTCAGGTTTGTTCATGATGAGACATTTTTTTATAAATACTTAAGGTAGGATTAGGTGATTGTTAAATAAATTTAAAAATCACATAACTTATCTGGGGAATGGAATTAAGCTACACCTATTTCTTCTAACAATCTAAAGAATGCCCATAGACACAATGCCCATAGTCATTAAAAGAAAGAGATGAGATTTCAGGGTTTATGAAAGGTTAGAAAGGCTGTTAAGAGTGCGATGACACCTCTTGGGAAGAAGCAGTTGAAGTGACGGATGGCTTCGGTCATGATGGACCCGTTCCTTTGTCTTAAAGAAGGATTTGATGAGAAGATAGTCGACTGGTGTGCAGGGTCGCTTGCAGCACATCCAGCCTTGTTTATCCACAGCAGCATCCTGCAGGTCTTATGAAGAGGAGAACTACAGAACAAATAAACACAGGTGCAGGAGGAAATTAAAGAATGAGAGATAATGTGAAGGCAGGCTGTCCTATTGGTCTATCAATCCACTAATTAGTCAATTAAAATGCCCCCCTTATAAATAAATAGAACCTGCATAATTAAATAACAATAAATAATAGAATAATAACAATAATAATAAAATTGAATTAAACATCATAATTAACAGACAGACTAATATAAAAGCTCCATCAGAGGGAACTTTTGGTTTGCACACATGTTGGCTCCCCCTATGGACAAAGCAGTACCTATTGCCTCTTAAATGCATTCATCCTCTCATGACAATATATGCCTCTGGAAACCAAGCCAATGTCCTGGTTACTCCAGTGAAATCAGTCTGCCCGTCTTTCCAGCACACATCAGAACCTGCTGATACGTGATTGGTCAGTACAGATTGAACTAGAAACATACTACAAACCAGAAATCCAGCAAATCTCAACCTCCTTTTTTTTTTTTTTTTTTTTTTACAGTCAAAAAAAATTCTTCCCTGTGGTCTTTGTTGTGGACGATGTAAACAGAGACTGTTTTTGCAGCATGGTGTAATTCACCATGTTTACAACCATTATAGGAAATCAATACATAGAAATTATTGATCTCGTCACTGATGGTCTTTTTGCATTTAGAGGTCATACAGAGGCATCAATACTAATAGCATTATTTTTTTATTAACAGCTATAACTCATCACAAGATCTTTAAAAAAATTGTGATGCTGTTGACTCTATGCTTTCGTGAGTCTGCTGTTTCCAGTTTGAAAAGGTAACTGAGTATAACCGTCCATCAAGGGTGTGTTTTTTACATGTTACACACACCCCCCCCCCCCCCCCGCCCCCCCAACCTCTCCATCTCTCTCAGCACCCAAGCAATGCACCCAAACAAAGGAGGAAAAGTCGGAGCATCTTGTCTCCCTGGAAACTAGAAATGATATAGAATTACTTGAAAACCATAGCGGGCTTCTATTAGTGTGAATGTGACACTTCACCTGCTTCAGAGTCATCATCTGCATTCTTTATTATATAGAAGAGGTCATTATGTTAAAGTCAGCTCTTAGTGTACTTTTGTGCTATGCGAGCTTTCAACAATTAGTAGGCTAAGTGATGAAGCGTTGGAGACAGTGAGATGGTGGAACGACAGGTTTCAGCCAGGATTCAGCCAGTCACATAAATAACCAGCCAATTATGGTTTCTTTATGCATGTATGAAAAGCAGTGCTTGTAGAATTTCTGCGAAAGTTGAAGATGTTCATCACTCATTTATATATTGATGCATGTAACTGCAGGTTTTCAGCACTGGTATATGCGTGTGGATTTTTCCCAATAGCGTTTTAAAAATACATGGGCCAGGCTTTAAGCAATAGTATGATTCAGAGAAAGGCAATTAAAGTAAAACACACATAATGTTAACATGAAATAAAAAAAATTATGAGTAGTGCTCATGTATCACATTGCATAGAGAAAGCTACAGGCAAATGTTGATTTCGGAATTTTGGGGTGACAGATTTCAAGTGGGATCGAGATCTGTTTGTGCCAATATCAGGTTTTTAACAGCAGTAAGTAACAATGCACTGCATCCACAAATACAGACATTTTAATCAAATTGATCAAAATCAGAGGGAGAGTGGAGGCTTAACGAACTGCTAACTCTTGAAATGAGGATGCTAATTGCTAACATAATGGAGGACGCCGTGGTTGTGTGCCATACATGGCGAATAATGACAGAGCCTTCTCCATAGCTGCCCCCTCCCTCTGGAACTCACTCCCTACACACATTCAACACTGCACCGACCCTCCTACTTTCAAATCACTGATCAAAACTCACCTCTTTAAACAAGCTTTTAATGTATGATTGTGATGTATTTTCTGTTTTCTGTAGTTTACCTTTATTGTTGTTATCTTTATGATTTGTGTGTAATGTTATAATGTGTGTTAGTCTGTCCTTACTGTGCTGTTCTGTTTTTTTAACAATTATACAGTGTCTTTGAGTTTTTGAAAAGCATTTATAAATACAATGTATTATTATTGTTTATAAAATTACCAGAGCCCATGCACTGCGCTCACCATTACCCAAACACATGCAGAATGGATGTAAACCCAGGTCTGCTCTATAATTGTTCTGAGCAATTAAAGCCTGATGTTGTAAAACAGCCTAACTTGAGCACATGAGCTTATATTTAGCTGACAGTAGGGGGCAACTGGGCCTAGTGTGAGTGTCCCTTTACTGCTAATTTCCACATCCGTGTGAGCCGTGTTCCATCAGCCCCACAGTTTTGGTGCGTCGGACAGTGTGCGTCCTGCCCCACTGGGTCCGTTTCTGGAGTGTGACTGCAGCTCTGAGCATCAGTACACACATCACAGAAGAACAAGATCACGCGGAAATAACAAGAACAACTTGCAAACATGTTCCGTTGTCTTTCTGAGGTTGATTTGTTGTTCATTTGGTGCCTGTTTTGACTTAATGTTGATAAAGTAATGGACAATAAGATCGGGAATCCATTTATTGTGATTTGTTTTTTAAATTGGCCGGAGGCTCTGTGCGTTTTCTAGTATGACTTCCTGTGCGACGCGATCTATTCTGTCCAGCTTTACAAGTGCTTGCAGCTAGCGCCATCAAAATTTGCATATGAAGCAGGAAAGTAAAATAATTGATTTGCGTCTAAAAAAAAACAATTAAATTGTTTATATGCATTATAAAGTTAACAATGACACCTCTACTGACTAAGTGTCTTTATATCAGCTTTAAATGCAGAAAAGACAGAATGATTAAGACTCAACTGATGCAAAGAACAAAGAAAATCAGGATGCATGTGTTTTCTGAAGATGGAGCTTTTTTGCAAGTTGTTACAACAGGTGCAGTCAACCGTGGGGGCTTCTCAGAAAGGCAGGTGAAAGCTATTCTGAAGAACTAATTGAGCGGAGAGATTTGATAAATGGAATTATGTGTGCTGTCTGTAGCACATGGAGGAAACCATTCGAGGGCAGTTTCAGGTACTCTGTCTTTTTGTTTCACTTTAAAACAACGCTTTAAACAAAAAACTGCATGCTTTTATTCAGTCTATTCTGCATGAGAAGCAGGAGGAGAGTCAGCATAATCTGAACTGTTTACTTTCTTATACTAGTAAACACATACGTGACATTCTAAAGTCAAAAGTAAATGCCATCACAACAACTTCTGCTATTACACTGCTCAAAGAGTTTTGAGAAAGAGAAAACCAGTCCTGAGGAATGAATCCTAAAATGAACACTCTCTGATGATAGAATTGGTTCATGAATAGACACTCCTGTAAAGGCACCGCTGGAGTTGCAATGTGCAATTCAAAACTGCAGCTTCTCATGCCTTCCAAGATTTCATTTTTTTTGCTGCTTGCTGCCGATGCTGTCATGCAGTCTTATGTGGATTTTTCCAAGTAATATTGGGCGATAAATCGATTTTTGTAACTTTGTGAGTACAAAAACTTGTAAAAACATGTTGAAAGACTTTATTTACAAGCACTTAATGTTTAATTATTACACAGCCTATTGAGCATGCCATGCAAATAAAATACATATTCATTTTTAGAAGAGGCACATTTTATATATAAAAAAACATTTGGTAAAGTGTTGTTGAAATTAAAACAAATTGTATTTAATAAATTTATTGTTCTGTGTTTTGTAGGTTGTGGATTAAAATTGTGAATTGGGTGTGGTGTAAAAAGAATTGAGGATTTTATTTTTAGGCCATATCGCCCCGCTCTAACTCCCAAGCGCCGCAGTCCGTCAGCGCCACAGTTTTGATCTGTTGGACGACATGCACCCTAACCCACTGGGTCTGTTACTGGAACATGAGCGCAGCAGAGAGCAGTTGTAAACCCAACACAGGAGAACAGCAAGATCACATGGGAATAAAGAGAAAAACATGCAAACAACATGTTGTTGGTTTGGTGCCTGTTTTGACATAATGTTTATAAAGTGGTGGAAAATACGGGACGCTCTGCTTGTCTGACTTCCTTTCCGGGTCGTTCTATTCTTTTCAGCTTGATGTTTGCTTGCAGAGAGCAAAAGAAGAGCGTAGCGGCAATGCAAATAGCAGCGTGCACAGACGATGCGGATTGGTCCCCCCTGTGGCCACCCCTCCAAAAGGAAGAGCCCCCCCTCATAACACAAACACAGTATTCACAAACACAGTATTTAACTCAACAACTGCACTCACAATCTAGTATTTAATTCTGTTACTGAAACAAATATCAATCATGATATTTTATGTTGTGGTATTTTATGATGTGTGCTATTATTTGGCATAATATATATATATATATATATATATATTTTTTTTTTTTTTAAAGAGATCATCTTTGTCTATTTTTGACCTGGGTCTAATGTTCCCCTCTGACAAAACAACTGGCTCCAGTTTGGCCCCCTCAGTAAAAGTAGTCTAGAACCGCCACTGACAGCTTTGTGCTCCCTCGTCCATCAACACACAGGCTGCATTCTCAGAGCGCAGCACAAAGCAGCACTGCCTGAGGTAGGAGTCCTGAGACCAGTGAGTTCCCGCGGTTATTACAGAATGGTGTGCGACAGCGTGAGATAATAAGATGTTTATGGTATAAAACCCTTATACACAGAAGAACAAAAAAACATCATATAGTGTTTTATTTTGAAAATAAAGCAAATCTTTTAATGTTTGTTCGTTTTCTGATTTCCTGTCCCACAGACCTGCTCTGTGTTAAATTGATGCGCAGTGCTCAGGGAACAACATAGAAGCCCTGCATATCTGCTGCAGAGGGCTCCAGACTGCCGGAGCTGGTATGCAGCGGAGTGGAGTCGGACCCAACACGCATCTGGTGAAATTTAGCAGTTAGTTTAGAACAGGCGTCTCCAACCTTTATTCATCTGAGAGCTACTTTGAAAAAAATGAAAGTGGCCAAGAGCTACTTGCATCACATCACTTGCATGTATTTACACAGCACACACCAGCTGAATTAAGCTACTG